AATCAGTACTAAGCTGTATTTAAGCAATAGAAAACGCTTTCCGTGTTTTCATAGCCTGATATAAACACGAGAGTGGTTCGGAGAATTCTCGACAGTTATGCAAAACTGTCGAGAATTCTCCCAACCCCTCGAGTGTTTATATCAGGCTGTGCAAACACAGGAGAAAAGTTTTCTATTTCTTTTATAAAATAACTTTCCCGAGTAAAAACTCAAAACTCTTTGTTGTGGCAATGATTAAAAGAGAAATTCTTGCCAGTCGTAAAGTCTTGTACACGAAGTCTTACACTCGTCATCAGTTCTTGTTTTGCAAAAAGATGCTTTCCAAAATACGCATTTTTCTCGCTTAAAATGTCTGCTTACGCGAGAACAAATTGACACACCTTGTTTGTAACGATTTTCCAAGTTTCAGCCGACGAAGGAATGGGTAAATAAAGTAAACTTCTCGAGTTTTGAACTCGAAAACGTTTTCAAATTCGTGCTTGCGTGATTAGCGCTCGAAAAGCAAAACGACTTGACACCACAACCATGTTTACATACTCTCATGCAAACACTCCTCTCGGCCAATCAGAGCGCGCGTACTATCTTGGTTATTTTATAAAATAACTTCCTTTACTGGTGATGGGTAATAATATCAACAACGCTTGTAAGTCCAGAAAATTTTGTGTATAGATTTAGTGTGTTTAAGTGTTCATGGCGCAGAGTAGAACAAAACCAAAGATGAACATACAAAAATCTTGTTTTGGGAAAAGACAGTTTATTCAAGTATTATTTTTTCTTACCTACAATAAACCACTGGATATAACTAATCAGGGGTTCATATTGATACACTCGACTACGGTCCATATCAAAGATCAAAAAAGAACACTAAGTTACAAACAACTTGAACAAAAAGTGTACAACCAGAAACTGCCTATGGAGTGGGTGGGCGAGAAACTTCATATTCAAATGTAACTAGCCTGTGTACAGAAGTCCCCCTCCCCTCAGAAAAAGAGGGAGGGAATCGTCTGTACACAGGCTAAATGTAACTAGAAAAGCTTAATCTTGCTTGCTTGCTTGCTTTGATACTCAAGTGCGCTGAAATTATAAAGCCTTAATCTAATAATATAAAAAATTAAGCACTATAGTCGTACATGCTAGCGTGGTGTATTACAATTGGTTCTCTGTAGGACCTGTAGTCTTGTGACTCCCATACAATGTATGTTGCTCAATTCTGAAATAGGCCCACTCCAGTCAATTTTAAAACTGCTTGTTCCCAGCCCAGACCTCTCCACCGTTATTAGTGTCTAGATTTATATGACTGAAATTAACATTCACTAAAACAAACAAAAGTCGACCACTTAATGATCTTTTTTTCTCATGAGTGCATGACGGCTACTTCAGACTAAACTGCCCTATTGAGCTTTAGTGACTGAAATTAAAACGAACATAGTGAAAAGATGGAGGGTCTGTTTGCAGCTTTAGACCACTGCCTCGATCAAGCAGATATGATCAATATTGCGCAGACAAATTATTAGTACTCCCTGTAGTCGCTTTGTCTGATTTTCAAAGCAGCGAGGCGGACTGACAGATGAGGGAGGGGGGAAATTGTTTGATCACAGAGGTAGATAGTGGCTTTTCCCATCCTTCTCCATCAAGTACTCTAAGTTAATCTTGTGCTCTTGTACCCCGAGTAAACGCCCGCAGCACATGCAGGACAGGTTGTCTATCTCAGTGAAGGTTTTAACCTGACAAATATAACAATAATCTTTCTCCTGGCAAATACCTCGCTATTACCAACACCACGCTGAAAGAAAATCAACTGAATCCGCGGCAAGTGTTTCATGCGTTTATGACTGTATAAAGGTGCCGAACTCTGGTCGTTGCAAAAATATATTTTTTTAACTTTTCAAACTTTATTTTTATAACCCATTGACGCCCGGCACTTTTTACGTTTTCGGATAAGTAATTTTCTTCATACAAACAAGCCATAGGACTTTCGTGACTCCATATTTAGACTTTACGATACCATGGAAAATAGTGCTGTTCTAACACATTGAAGGCTCGAGTTAAAACATAGGTCAAAGCACTGTGATGCAATATGGAAAGCTTTCGGGTTATCCGATACGAAGTGAACCAAAGTCTGGTTACGGCCGGATTCGACCTGTCATCGGACAACTGACGCAGCAAGCAAAAGCGATTCAAACACAAGGCGTACCAGGCAGCTCCTAACCCCTCATCCCTGGGTACTCTGCATCTCTCTTTCCTATAGCATGTTTAGGTTTTTTATAGGAATATCCGAATCGACATCACTCGCACTGACGACGAAGGGTTTTAGAAAACAACGAAATCATTTCTGTGGATAATATTTGCCTGTTCAAGCACTTTCAACGGACAAACCCCTCTCACATTTTTGTTGTTGAGTTTTCCGGGATTTTGCCTTTTTTGTATCCCGTCCCATTTATAGCTACCCCTAAGTGCCAGATTCTGGTCAAAAGAAAGACTTCCTCACCAGTGAAAAGACAGGGAAAGTGGCTTGCTAAAGATATTTTTTCAAATGCAGAAGTGAACTGGAAAAATACCTATCAGCTACCTTTTCTATGTACTACGGAAACGAAGTTAAAACGACTTCCTTCTTAAGATAGGCAAAAAGGAAACAGACTCCTGTTCTTCTTGCGCTGGTTCCCCAGAGACACTTACACATTTTTTTGGCATTGTAGATCAACTCAGAGTTTTTCGAATAATGTTTCGCAGTGGCTGCGAAAATCTTGATTTGACCAACTTGAACATTGCCCCCTTTTCGCCCGCCCTTTGCCTAGGCTTAATTGAAAACATATCTAATCTTCTCCTACACCGCTTCCTCCTTATTGCTAGACACTATATATATAGTTGCAAACTACGAAATACCTTTCCTTTGGTACAAGTGTACACTCAGTTAGTCACACGCTCCATGGAAATCGAGAAACAGATTGTTTTTGATAATAATAACTTAGCCTCCTTTAGGAAGAAATGGGCTACTTTCAAACAATGCCCCTCAGAAATAATTTGATCTATACTGTTAATTAAAGTGCAAGTTACAAACGGGCAGATGGGGGATGGAGGACCTTGAGGCAGACATGCAGCCTTCTCTTAATTGTTAATACAAAAACTATAGTATTTTGAAGGACTTTGTCTTTCTTTTTATTTTTATTTCACTTCTGTAAACGATAACAAAAACCTGTTTCAATGTAAGGTAAAATTTAGTAACCGCGATAATTTGAAGTTATTGTAATGAATTGTAAATGTAATAATGTATTGTAATTGTTTGTGTGTCCGAAATAATAAAAAAATATAAATAATAATAATAATAATAAAAGTCTCCAAGGGCTTCAAGTACTTCATGCGGTATTTTTGCAAAACTTCTTATAGTCTTTTAGTAATTATATGTTTGCTACACAGAAATTTTCAAGGAGTTATATTAACTCCTCTAGTGGGGCTAATTCGACTCCTTACAGTGGAGTTATTTTTTGGGGAGTTATTTTAACTCCAAAAAGGAGTTTAAGTGTAGAACTCTTTTTCAGGAGTAAAAGTGACCCCAGATATTATAGAGTTAAAATAGCCCCCAAAAAGGAGTTGTCCGGAACCTAAAATTTTTACTCCACTTTCAGAGTTAAATTAACTCCAAAAAGAGTAAAAACAACCCATGTAAGGAGTAAAAGTAACCCCACTGTTTCGGAGTTATTTTAACTCCAGACTGGGAGCAAAAAGAACTCTTTTTCAGGAGTAACTGAAATGACCCCAAATTCGGAGTTAAATTAGGAGTTAAAATAACCCCAAAAAAGGAGTTATCCTGTACCTAAAATTTTTACTCCATTTTTGGAGTTACAATAACTCCCCAAAAATACGGTGTATACAACTGATCAACAACTTATAATGATAAGTATTCAAAACAAGAAAGGATTTAGTTGTAGGAACTTTTGTGCATTAAGTGAGCCGTTTGTCAGATCAGTTGGTTTTTTCCTTCGATTTCCTCTTTGCAAAGCTTGTTTTATTGTATGGGGGATCGGCACGATGCCTTTGCCCCATCTGAGGGAATCAAGGCACTGTTGTATTCTAAATTTCACGACTTGGATTCCGGATTCCATGTACTGTACATCTTTTTTGTTGGTGGAACTTGTTTTCTGGATCCCAATCATTAGTGGGATTCTGCAGGCACAAGAAAGGTTTTCCCTGATTCCGAATTCTACAGACAGAAATCTGGATTCCTTTACATGGGGGGGGGGGGAGGCGATACATTTTACAGCAACAACATTTAAGAGAAACCATATTTTGGGAGAAGATCAACATGAGTGTACTCGACGAGGATCAACCTTGACTTCCTTGACTGTGGTAGGACTACTGTATGCTTCCGTTATGAGACACGCTCATGAGCCTAATTGTCTTCTGACATTGTATGCTATACTGAGGCCTTTTCAATCTCGTTCTTTTCCTGGTACTATCACAGGAGGGATATTAGACTACGAGTAGTCCCCATTTTTCCTCAGGGATAGTAGAGCGAGCGAAACGCGAGTACGCGTGAAAATCACCCCACGCGAGAAAGGCGAGACGCGGCGGGGAGAGAGCAAAATGATGGACAACGGACAAAGTCCCCACCGTGTCTCGTCTTTCTCGCGTGGGTAATTTTCACGCGTTCTCGCGTTTCGCTCGCTCTACTATCCCTGAGGAAAAATGGGGACTACTCGTAGTCTCGAGGGCTATGCAAATGACAAACTTACTTTTTATGGTGGGGGGCAGGGGGGCACGGAAGGGGTTGAAAGAGGGAGTATTTTGGTCTTATCTCTCACTGAGTGGTGGATCCAAAAGCCTCTGATGTAAGACTTCCTGAATATGAGTGAACTTTGACGCTGCAGATAGCAAAACAGACATAATAAGAGGAGTACAAAGTTGGCAAGATACCCAAAATTCTGACCCTGATATCGAATGAACCAGACAATCAATGAACCATTCATTGTCTCATGCGGACTAATCAAACAGTAACTAAAGCCATGGCTTCTCAGAAGCAGAGTTTGCCTTCCTTTTCCTCGATTCTTTCTGTCTTGTCGATTGTGTTTTACTGCGCCGGTTTTCTGAGAGTAGAATTGGAGCTGAACGAACAGAAGAAGAGAATAAACGATCTTGAAAACAAACGGGAGAATATGCCTCCTGATGTTCCAAACCGTGACAAGTTAACTAATAATACTCATGGTAAGTCTTCTCTATTCTGGTTCAATATTTTATAATAAGAGCATCATACAGAATGTTTATGTTATATTTTTTAACAAAAAATCTTGCGAGTGCAGAAAATTTTGCATAAACGGTATATATCTTGTCTTTGCGTGTTCGTGGCGCAGAGGTAAAGAAAACCGAAGGTGAACAGGTCACCATTTGTTTCCTTTGTAGCGAAGAAATATTAAAAAAACAACAATCGATCACCAGTAATGATCTTTGTTTCTGAAAAGTAGCTGAACAGTCTTATTGTTTCAAATGACAGCTGAAATTAAAAATGACGAACATTTTTGTGCAATTGAGGTGGTGTGTTTACAGTATCGATCAAGCAGATAGCATAAAAAAAAAACTTTCGGACGCGCGGGTAATTATCATTTCAGGCTTCTCACTCAATCTCAGCTCAATCAGCAAGTTTCATATAAGAAATATTAATGTTATCTAATCTGATGTCCTTAATGCTTATATTCGTTATTTATTTAGTCTGTATGCCATTAAAACGTTCCTTGCTGTTTATGTAAATCATTTAGGTAAGTGCCACCCCAAAGGGTATAGTAGCGTTTTAGGGCCTTTTTGGTCTGAAAACTGGTATGCTCTTTGCCCATTTTGGTCTGGAATCAAGTATAGTTTTCAAGGGGACTACGGGAGCGTATGAACGTGGTTATCGTTTCAATTCCAAAAGGATAAAAATCAAATAGGAATATGCGAGTTCGAAACACGCTCTAAACTAAGTAATGATGACCTAATTTGTGCCCAATTTCTGCCTAAAGGTATAGGCCACTCGAAGGAACAAGCACGCTACGCACTGTGTATGCCTCGTCCTTTAAGCAAAGATCCGACATAAGCCACTCGAAGGTCCTATAGATCTGCATTGAAGGGTTTTTACTAAGATTAACTAAGTAAAAGGTCCTCTGTTTTGGTCTTTAGCACTAACTTATTATAAACGTTAATTGTAGAAACTGAATATGTCAAGCCCTACAGGAATAGGCGAGCAGCCGATTCACTGAAAAACACCACGGGAGCTAAAATCACAGTTGACAGGGAAACAATTCTGAAGATAAACAGACTGTTATCCGAGCTAAAACCTCAACTGTGTCATTCAAATGGCGATAGCTGTCTCCCAGGCCCTCCCGGTCCACCGGGACCAAGGGGAGACAAAGGATCCCGGGGAAGAAGAGGACACAAAGGGGACCAAGGCATTATGGGATCTCCTGGAAAAAGTGGCAAGCAAGGCATCATGGGACCAGCAGGTCCGAAGGGTGAAGCTGGACGCAAGGGAAAAAAAGGAGACATTGGACCTGCAGGCATGCCGGGAGCTAAAGGAGAACCTGGTGAATCGATTTCAGCTCCTGTTGTTGCTGTGTCACCTAAAACGCTGACAGTTAACGAAGGTGGCTCAGCGTCGTTTCATTGTTCAGTGAGTGGTAATCCTGATCCTGTCTTAGTGTGGAGTAAAACGATCAGACAGTACAGTCAGACAGTGGTTTCAGGAGGAAAAATGCTTCTGAAGAATGTGCAAGGAAGTGATTCGGGTACATACAACTGTTCAGCAGTGAACATTTTAGGACAAGCCCAGGCACTGGTGCAGCTGATGGTAAATGGTAAGATCGCTATGAGTTAGTTAAAATGCAGGAACATTTTTGCCTGGATGCTGCTACCTGTCTGGCTCGGTTAAATTCTTTCACAAAAAAGTAAAATAAATAAAACTGGATATCGTTTTCTACCTACGCTACTGATGCATTTCAAAGCTTAGCTAATCAGCTCTAAGGCAGTTGCCACATTTTATACTACTACATGAGAAATTTCTGCAATTTGATTGGCTTAGAGCAGTGGTATTTCAGCTTAATTTGAAATACCTACATGTGAAAATTACAAACCTTGCGGGTAGTAGTATAAACAATTAATAGCATGATTTGTATGTGATATTTGACATAAATACCACTCGTGATATTTCAAAATTGTCTCAAATTTCACTCGCCTAACGGCTCGTGAAACTACGTATAACAATTTTGAAATATCACTCGTGGTATTTATGCCAAATATCACTACAAATCATGCTATTACCTATACAAATTGTAAACAATCAAACAGACCAACAAACAAGATTTTTTTAAAAAAAATAAAAGTTCTATACTGAAAGATGAACTTACAAAAAATGATGTTTCAGGAACCGAATTCAGTTACTTGGGCTAAAACTCTTAAGTCTAGGTCTTAATTCCTTTCTTTTTTGTAGTTCACCCCCAAGTTTCTCTTCATCCGGGACCTCATTATGCTATCGAAAGAAGTAGTTATACTCTTCCATCCTGTCACGTGACTGGGTATCCTGCGCCAGTGGTCTCATGGAGAAAGTCATCCGGTCCATTATCCCAGGGAAGGGTGAAGTACAACAACAGTGCATTACAAATACTACATGTTCGTAAAGCTGACTCTGACCTCTACTACTGTGCGGCATCAAACCTGTTAGGACGGGTTGAGAAGAAAACTCTCTTAGTTGTTGTTTCTCCTCCTCAGTTCTCTGTTAAACCACCTGCTAAAGTTGTCGTGTGGGTTGGTGGTATATTGATTTTAAACTGTAGCGCTACTGGTGATCCTCAACCAGTCCTCACCTGGAAAAAGCAAGGAGGTCAACTGCCAGTCGGGAGGAACCAACAAATTAATGGCAATTTGGTGATCAGAAGTGTCACGGTGAATGACAAAGGGATTTATAGTTGCGTTGCAACAAACGCTGGAGTGTTTAAGTCAGAAGCTGACACCTTCATTGAAGTTAAAGGTAAGTCATTAGGAAAGATGAGAGAATATGTTTTATTTTGAACGATGCAACGATTGATCGAGCTATCACTCTGCATTAAGTGCCTCAAACGGCATCCAGTGTTAAGATGTTGCTTCAGTTCGAATCTACAATAAGAAGCTGAAAGTTAGAGTGCAATCGCGCCAACATTTTGACTCATTTAAAGACGTACTCTACCTCCAGGGCAACTGACCGGGTGGCTAGAACCGTTACAAAAGAAACACATTACTTGATGATATAAGATTTTTAATTTCCTGAGCGACCAGCCATAAAAAGCAATAAAAAAGAAAATTTTCTCGTACTTGTACAAATTAATGAAATTAAGCCTGGTCGAGCGGTCAACGTTTTCGGGTAACATTGCACTGTCACATATTAGGGAGCTTATATAATATATAATATATATATAAATTTAATATATAAGTATAATATATAATATATATATAAATATATAATAAGCAAGTCGTTTTTGAGAAACGCCTGACAACAGGATATGAGGCATCTTCCCAGGGGGCCTCTTCCCTTTTTATGCCTTGAGTCTACCTTATTTGTACTGCTACGTGTTTTTACTCTTAAAGAGACCATTTGCCTTAAAATTTGGGCATAACGACTACCCAAGAAAGCAAAAAGTCCTCTTCAATGAACTCTTATTAATTGAAAAAAAAAAAAACGAAAGTCAGTGTAATGTACATGTATCATTGAATGAAGCGTCTCTAAACTAATTTGGTTAGTACAACGGCTTTCATTGAAGAGTAGCCTAAAGCCAAAGTTATACCAACAAAGCACTAAGAAGTTTATTATCAGTATGTTGCTAAAGTAACTAGTGATGGAGAATACTAACACGCACGCAAAGCAGTCAAAACAACATCTTATTAAGCAGATTTAACATTAAATTACAGAGTAAATGCCGAAGTGTTCCCGGTAATCCGCGATTCAGTATCTACGAATGTTTTAATTTTTTGTGTGTGTTTGACACTGATCTAGTGTGAATGCTAAGTTTTAACAGTGAAGAGGTACGTGAAAAACTTTCAGCTTTCTCCTGTTTTTTATTTATTTATTTATTTTTTATTTGGAAAATAAATTCTTTAGATGGCCTTGCCGGTTCCACCATCCTTAGCACTCTTGACAGCAAGTACCTTGATCAGCTGAATTCATATTTAGACCCAGTCCGCCAGACTACAGGCCGCAGCAGGTTTGTGAGGTGTTGGCACGCTGAGACAGATGGTTGGGTGGCAGCAACATTCCACAGCAACTGTGATGGAAAGGGTCCCACTGTAACCATCGTCCAAGTCGGTAGTTACATATTTGGTGGTTATACTGACAAGTCTTGGGGTGGTATGTATCATTTCGTTAACGCCTTAATCGCACACATATGTTCAGCGTTGTCGTGTGGACGGGGGCGAAAACGATTCTAATACGCTTCGCGTAGGCGCTTACTTTTTGTGAAAAAGCGGCGATAAATTTCTCCATTTTCTAAAAACATCCCGATACGTGTGGATTGGACGTAAAACCAGCGTATACGTTGCACAAGAACGCCGTTTATATGTGAACGGAAGGCAGTATTCGGACCAAAAAAACCTCCGTTTTCAAAAAATTATATCCGGATACGTGTGGATAAGGCCACTTTGACAAGCAAATTAGCAACAGACACCGTTGGCAAAAAAAGATGGTTAAAAATACAACAACAATAACTAAGCCGCATGGGCTGTTTTATTTCGATTTTTTTTCTCTCTGGAGTATTCTGTTTGTCTGTTAAAATGTTCTGATAAACGGTTTGAAAGTATTGAAATGCTTTCACACCATACAATTGGTAAAAAGTTGTAATGTTGATGTCCGTGACAGATTGTTCTAATGGATCTAAATGAAATAACCAACTTTTTGGGTAAATAAATAGCAAAGCGAACATACCTGAAATCTCATTTTTTCTACAAGAGTTTACTATAGCAGCTCTATAATGTATAGGACAGTACTTTTGAAAACTTAACTGATTTTTGGAGAGGACTGGTGTATTGCATGGCTTTGTTAAACATTATAGCATATTCTATCAAAAAGGTTTTAAGGTGAAAAACATCCAACTTCGAACACAAATATTTATAGCTGTCATTGTCGCCCTTGCTGCTTGAGGTGTTTTGAATAATTTAAAGTAATATCTAAAAATTGTCTCCCACAGGTTCTTGTCGTTATGTCTATTCAAGTAAATCGTTCCTGTTCTCGTTATATAACATCAATGGCTACGCTCCGGTTAAGGTAAACAGCAAGTCAGGTCACTACAGTAACGCCGTATACACATGTTCCAACTACGGACCAACCTTTGGTAACGGACACGACCTGCACATACACAACAACGCTGCAAGCAACCGCAATTCCTACACATACTGTGGCTACGGTTACCACCTCCCCACTGGGTACTCTGCATCTTCCTCTTCCTGTAGATTTTATGCAGGTGGATCCAGTATCTACTTCACTCCCACTGATGTTGAAGTGTTTTACGAGACAACAACTTAAAACCCTGTAAAAGTTATCACGTCTGTAAATCCAAGCCGAGTATAAATACATATGTGGACGAGGTTTAGTAGACCGTCCCAAAGGAAAGTGTTTCAAATGGAAGTTTTCGTTTCAATTAAGTAACAAGAAATTCTTTTAAAATCAATTCGAAGATCGATCAGGAGCCAGTGAAGATTCACAAGAAGCTGTTTCCTGCGCATGTTAGAGCTTTTATCATGCGATTTTAGGCAAACCATTATATAGCAACGAATTGCAGTATTCAAGTTTTAGAATGATTAGCATATGGTTGCAATTTTAGTCCACTGGGTTAAGTTTAAGCTGTCCAGTTCAAGGAAGTGGTGTATTTAGAGAAATTGCTTGACTGTTACTATATAAGGTACCTTACTTGCCTTACTCATAACGTGTACACATAACTGGCCGTTGTTTGCTTCATGCACAGTAGATTCCCTGAACGTCAGCTTTTCAATTCTTTTAGATGCTACAATAATCTTTACCTTTACCCGAAGTTGCAATCTACCTTTCTACCAGAAATTGACTTGGGAATGGTGCATATGCAGAGATCTAAAATAACGTAAAAATAAAATGAATCAAATAAGTAAGGATGACATTGCACAATCGCACCTCGACCAGGATGCCACAACCCAAGAACTTCTAAAATTCCAAATGTTTTGTAATTGCATGTTTTCACCGATCAGATGATTTTAAGATCGTAGATTTTCTCTGGAATTCAGACTTTTGCGCACACCACACAATCCTGTGAAGGAAGGCGCTGTCTGCATAATTTTGTGGTTTACAGTGAGCTTCTAGTGGAAGCATTTTACGCCGGTTATTAACATCAGAGGGATGAAAATTCACGTATGCGCTTTTCTTAGTTGACAGAAACCTTTTTTTAAGCAAATAGATGGTACACGAGGTACACCGTTACCACGCCAATGCCACGACCTTCAAAATATACTTTCTTTATTACTAGTAATAATACTTGATTAGCTTTCACGGCGCACGTATTAAGCCTGTGTGCAGACGTTTGAAGGGGATAAATGAAAGAGAGAACTAAGCCCGAGGGGTACTTCCTATGATGGCCTGTACGGGGAGGCTCCGCCCGCAAGGCGACCTTTTTCAGGCTTCACGTATATGAAAGGTAGGGATTTTACTAGTTGAAGTATATAAAAGGGGTGGGGAAATCTGTCATTTGGGTCTGTAAAAGGGTCCAAAAGGGCTAACAGATACATTTCATGGTTTTATAGAGTCTAGAAAACGTTCTATTTTTGTGATTGATTCCTGTACCAAAAGCAGTACATGTTCAATAAGTGAAAGGGATGCAAAGGCCTAAACAAGGTACCGAAAATAAACCCCTCCGTGTATAAGCCCCCCAAACCGGTAATGCAAGAAACCCTTCGTTAAATCGCCCCTCCAAATATAAGCCCCCCGGTGGCTTGTACTTGGAAAATTGCCCTCAAATACCAAGTAAAACAAAGCTACAACAGTACATTTACTTCCAACTATAAGGCTAGCCCAATCGATTTTGAAACGCAAATATCCCTCCGTAGAAAAATAAGCCCCTCAAAAAAGGCCTTTGAAAAATATATGCCCTGGGGCTTATTTTCGGAATTTTACGGTATTTGAAAGGGGTACCATTTGTCAATAGAATTAGGTATGCGAAAGGGGTACCTTTTTCGTGAAAAATGGTAAATAAAGGGGTAAGGGGTTGGCCTTTGGGACGGAGCCTCTTTATTGAGTACCCCCCGGGAACTAAGACGCCCAAGCGCGTGGGAGCCAATTCCTTTTACCTTTACGCTTGTCGCACTGGTTGGGTACGAATTGGACAAAAGAAGCATATGAAGATAAAAGCTGTAATAACATGATCAAAGAGTATGATGAAATCAAAGTTCAAATTGAAAAAAACTGGTGAAGAATTGACAATGAAAAACATACATGTAATTGCTCACTGTCATGGTCTAACTCCTAGATAGCAATCCAACAAAACTATTTGAAAAAGGATGACAAATAAACTTTATTAAAGTCTGGAGATATCATTAAGGTCTCGGTAAATGAAAATTTTAGTACATTGCTCGATTTTGTTTTTTTTGGATTTTTGGCATGAGTGGGTCCTGAATTTTATTTTGGCAGAAAAAGAAAATCAGAAAGTGAGCCTTTTCTGAGCTAACCAGCCAAGCGTGGACTTCGCGCTAAATCTTTAGAGCTGATTTTCTCTCACTCTATTTTAGACGCAAAAATCAAAATTCTGCGACCTCCAGTCGGGACAGGTTTTAAGCTATCGCTTTGAAACTTTCAGATATGATGGATAATGATATAGACTCAAAAAGGGTGTGAGGAATTTTCCGATTTTCCTTTGTAACTCATTTTATGTCAGTTTCTTTGCGTAAATCGCGCTCGAGATTCGACTTTTTAGTTTGAAATGCAATAATTCCGCTAATACGAGACATATACAAATTTCCTCACACCCTTTTTTAGGTCTTTTATCTGTCAATCAGATACAATAAAAAGGAAGTGAATATTTAACAACGCGAAAGGGCTGGAGCTTCAGCAGTAAACTCGATACCTCTGAGTTCGAGAACAAAAAACTTAAGCCCCTTTTGAAATTCGATGAAATAAAATCTTTTATAAGGTACTTTAGTCTTTTAGCTTTAATTTGATATATAACTTGCCTTTGTAGCGAAAATACTCGCGCGACTAGAATTTTTTTCTGTGGGCACCTCGTTTTCCTTTACCGAGACCTTAAACGGAAACTGTAGTCAAAACAAGTTTGACTCTGAGTCTCGTAACAAACGGCACCAGAGAATATTCAAGGATGGGGCCTATAGGAATAGTTCAGACCGTCGAACTCCTCAGTGTCTATTTTCTGGTTCATCAACGATCTGTATCCCTTGACATTTTGGCTTAAATCTGCATATTGACAAGAAGAGGGCTTATGAGCGCCATTTTTGCTTCACTCTATCGCAAAACGAAGAATCCTTTCGAACCGAAAATTTGTATAGATAAAGCTGAGTATTTAAGTGCTGTAATAGAGTTTTTTTTTTATTTATTTCTTTATTGACAAAAAAAATTAATTACAAATACTTGTTATTTTAACTATGAAAAATAATATATATATCTATATGGCAAAAAACAAACTAAATTTGTAAAGGAAAAAAAAAACAAAAAACAAACTAAACAAATTAAAAGGAAAAAGACGCAAACCTGATAAGTGAAACAGTATAGCAGTAAAGTGTAGCTTGAAGGAAATGACACTAGCATTCACGTATCTAAAGAAGTTTGTCCCATGTTTTTTTGAATTGCGATAAGCGGTTAGATCTAAAAGCTGTGGTGCGAAGAATATCAATTTTGTTGTTCAGACGCAGTAGAAAACTGTCAAAGTCCAGGACGCCGTTGCGTACGCTTGTAGCAAAAAGTGCTGTGATAGCTAATGAAAGAAGCACTCAGAAGAAGCGATAGTTTCTTAGTTTGAATTTTGGTGACGTCATTTGAAAACCATGGAAATGATTTTTAAAAATTTTACATACCGCAAGATCATTACACAAAAAGAATGCGAACAACTGGAATTCTCAAAAGTCACGATAATGTACGTTTCAGATCTAGTACTTAAAAAATACGCTTTATTTGAGTGTTAATTATTAGTCTCTTATGGAATAACCAGCTGTAGCAACATTTATTAACAAACCTTTTCATAAACTAATGACCAGACCACTGGCCTCTCAGAAGCAGAGTTTACCTTCCTCTGCCTCGATTCTCTCTGTCTTGCCGATTCTGTTTTACTACTCTGGTTTTCTGAGAGCAGAATTGAAGCCAGTGAAAGAACAGAAGAAGAGAATAAACCCTTGAAAACAACGAGAAGACTACGTCGTCAGACGATCCTAACCAGTTAGCTAAGAAAACCCGTCGTAAGTTTGTATTTAATCTGGTTTAGCATTGAATGCGTTTTTATTTTTTTTTCAAAAACAAATGTTGTAAGTCCAGAAAATTTTGCACATAGATTTATTGTGTTTACGTGTTTATGGCGCAGAGTAAAACAAAACCGAAGATGAACATGCAAAAATCTTGTTTTGGGAACAGGCAGTTTATTCAAATATTATTTCTCCTTGCATACAATAAACCACTGGATAAATCTAATCAGTGGTTCATATTGATACACTCAAATACGGTCCATATCAAAGATCAAAAAAGAACACATAAGTTAGAAACAACTTAAACAAAAAACAATCAGAAACTGCCTATGGAGTAGGTGGGAGAGAAACTTTAAAAAATTCAAATGTAACTAGCCTGCTGTGTACAGAAGTCCCCCTCCCCTCAGAAAAAAAGGGAGGGAATCGTCTCTACACAGGCTAAATGTAACTAGCAAAACTTAATCTTGCTTGCTTGCTTTAATACTCAATTGCGCTGAAATAGGCCATTTGCACTAAGAGGTCATGTAACATAGTTTTTATGAAAGTGAAAGTTATATGATTTTGCCTTCGAAAAACGATTAGTGGGTCATATCTTAAACAAAATAATAGTGATTTGGTTTTTCAAATCCGCACCATTTTTTTTAAAATGAATAAGTTCATAGCTGGTTACGTGACCAAAATGTGACTTTTAAAATTATGAATTACCCCTTTCTAAACACAAATTTTGAACTTAAACTTCAAGGTAAATGTTGAAAAGATGATGTGGTAACGTTTGCAGCACATCTGAGCCTAACTATCAAACGTTTAACAAGATATAAGCAAAAAGTAGTTTTGGCCGCCATGTTGGAGAACAAGAGTATGCCCTCCAACATGGCCGCTAATACAAATCATACTACTTTGTTGAAAAGTCAAAGTGCCATAAAATATCTTCCTTAAATGCGTTTCCTCTCAAATTTCGGGTGTAAGATAATTTTTATATGCTCTGTCAATTTTTGTTATCAGCAAGATTCCAACTCATTGTTTAAAGGAAACATTTGTCACGTGACCTCTTTGTGCAAGTGGCCTATTATAAAGCCTTAGTCTAATAAAACCCAAAATTAAGCACTATACTCGTACATGCTTGCGTGGTGTATTGCAATTGGTTCTCTGTAGTCTTGTGACTCCCGTATAATGTGTGTTGCTCAATTCTGAAATAGGCCCACTCCAGTAAATTTTAAGACTGCCAGGAGCCCATCAAATGGAGCCTCCATCTCCATTAATTTCTTGAGTCAACCCTTTCCCGAGTAGATTTATAAATAGAACGGCTTGTTTCCCGCGAAAAGTGTCATATTTCCGTGAGTCTCGTATGTCACCGTGAAAAAAATGAAGTTGGATTAAGTCGAACTCAGAAGCCCGTCCTTCGACCGTTTTCCTTTTTTACTATACGTTCATTTTTACAGTTTTACAGCCGCAGGGATCTGGGATGAAATAAAAGTTAATGAATTACCCGACTGAGACTGAGCATGAAGCGATGGGACAAAGGCAGCGAACTGAGGATCACGGAAAGGTTCTTTGCGAGTGTTTGTTTTTGATTTTTTTTTTTGCCGTCATACATCCCACATTTAAGCATACACCTTGAAAAGAGTCGACCATTAAGCGTTCTGTGGTCGACTTGAAACTTTTCGATGATCAGCGCCGAAAAAGTGCCAGGATCATTTATTTTTGTCATCGCCGTGGAGTGGATTTCGCCAGTTAAGCACCGTGTGCAAAAGCGATGACCTGAGTAGCAACCAAGGAGGAATGCTTCAGAAAAATTGCAGTCTTCCTTTACAACTGACTTGTATCACCATGAGAGTTGCCTGATAAAACTGGCACTTGAAAAGTTGAACAGAAGACAACAGTTGCTCGACCGTGAAGCTAACTCAAAAGTAATTTGCTAACGGTGGAATTTGTGACATCGCGCTCCAGTCCAAAGACCCTCTTATCTCAAGAAAAACAAAATGGATTGTATCTGCGCCCAAAGAATTATGACTGACCAACAGGAGAATTCTCAGCAATTAATGTAGAAGTTTAGGCTAATTCTTTCCTTCGAATTCGCATCTGTAGATCACTTTTTTGCGAGAAAACAATGGCTGGGCTCGGCGTTACAAAACATAGCAGGGAATCATCACACTAACTGACGGACAAAACAACCACAGTATTTATTCAGACAAACGCATTTCGGACAAAAACTTGAAAAACTAGAAATTTGATTAATATTGAGTCATTTAGCCGAAATAAGAAACTTAACGCTCAAAAAAATTGGCTAAAGAAAACGAATCCTATCAGAACTACAGACTGCAGGTAGTAGTTAATCCTTACGCATGTAACAGACCAGCTTAATGTGAGACAAGCAACCAAAATTAAGATTAACATAGTCAGAGTTTAAAACTCTCCACAGTATAATCTACCCGCTAGAAAGAAAAGAAAGAAAATCTCTGAGGGATGAAAACGCTAAAGTCACGTTTCACTAGCTTATGATTTTGTTTGGCCTGTCAGCACCGGAGTTCCTGCTGTTTCATGAAATACAATAGCAGTGTCATTTAGTCGTTGTGATTGGCTCTTCCCACCGTCGGCGCGCGAAGTCTCCCCTGGGAACCGTTCTAATTATAAATCTACTCGGGAAAGGGTTGACTCCAAGGGCTTGTATGGGAGATGGAGGCTCCATTTGATAGGCTCCTGAGACTGCTTACTCCTAATGAGATTAATATCCTTTAAAAACAAACAAAGATCGACTACTTAATGATCTTTTTTTCTCACGAGTGCATGATGGTTACTGCAGAGTAAACTGCCTTATTGTGTTTCAGTAACTAAAATAAAAACGAACATAGTGAGAAGATTGGGGGTCTGTTTGCAGCTGTAGACCGCTGTACCGATCAAGCAGATGGGATCAAAAATGCGCGGACGAATTATTTAGGGTACTCCCTATAGTCGCTTTGCCTAATTTTTAAAGCAGCGAGGCGGACTGACCGATGAGGCAGGGGGGAAATTGTTTGATCACAGAGGTAGATAGTGGCTTTTCCCATGGCATCCTTCTCCATCAAGTACTCTAAGTTAATTTATGTGCTCTTGCACCTCGAGTAAACGCCTGCAGCACATGCAGGACAGGTTGTCTATCACAGTGAAGGCTTTCAACCTGACAAATATAACAATCATCTTTCTCCTTGCAAACACCTCGATACATGAGTACGAACACCACGCTGAAAAGAAAATCAACTGAGTCTGCGGCAAGTGTTTCACTCCTCTTTGACTATATAGAGCTCTCGAACTCTGGTCATAGCAGACATATATATTATTTCACTTTTTAAATTTTGTTTATATAATCCATTGACGCCCGGCACTTTTTACGTTTTCGGACGAGTGATTTGTGATGCATTATGGAAAGCTTTCCGAATATCTGATACGAAGTGAACCAAATTCTAGTTACGAATTCGACCTGTCATCGGACAACTGACGCTGCAATCAAAAGCGATTCAAACACTTGAGGAGTTGTGCCAGGCAGCTCCTAACCCCTCACCCCTGGGTACTCTACATCTTTTCTTTCCTATAACATGTTTAGGTTTTTATAGGAATATGCGAAACGACATCACTCGCACTGACGACGAAGTGTTTTACGAGACAACGGATTAATTCCTGTAGATAACATCTGCTTTGTTGTAGACTTTTCAAGGATTTTGCCTTTTTGTATCCTGTTCCATTTTTAGCTACCCTTAAGTCTCCAAGAGTCATTTAGTAGTTATTTGTTTGCTCTACAACTGATCAACAACTTATGATAATGATTATTTATATCGGGGAAAGGATTTAAATGTAGGAACCATTGTGCACCTGAAGTGAGCCGTTTGTCAGATGAGTTTGTTTGTTTTTTTTTTCTTCCATTTCCTCTTTGCAAAGTTTATTTTTTTTTGTATGGGGTGCGATGCCTTTACCCCTTTTGAGGGAGTCCAAGGCACTGTTGGATTCTGGATTCCACGCCTTGGATTCCGGATTCCATGTACTGTACATGTTTTTGTTGATGTAACTTGTTATCTGGATTCCAGTCGTTGGTGGGATTCTGCAGGAGCAAGAACGGTTTCCCCTGATTCCGAATTCTACAGGCAACTGAACCAGCGACACTATCCATGTAATGTAGGCTTCCATTATGAGGCATATACTTATGAGCCTAATTGTCTTCTGACATACTATACTGTACTGAGGCATTAAAATCTTGTTCTTTTACTGGGACTCCCCACGGGGAGAGAGCAAAATGAGGGACTACAGACAAAGTCCCCGCCGCGTCTCGTCTTTCTCGCGTGGGGTGATTTTCGCGTGTGCTCGTGTTTCGCTCGCTCTACTATCCCTAAGGAAAAATGGGGACTACTCGTAGTCTAGAGGGCTATGCAAATGACAAACTCACTTTTTATGGTGGGGGCGGGGTGGGGGAGAGAAGGGGTTAATAGAGGGGGTACTTTGGTCTTATCTTTGAGTGGTGGATCCAAAAGCCTCTGATGTAAGACTGAATATGAGTGAACTTTGACTCTGCAGATAGCATAACAGACAAATAAAGAGGAGTACAAAGTTGGCAAGATACCCATAATTCTGACCATGATATCGAATAACCAGACAATCAATGAACCATTCATTGTCTCATGCGGACTAATCAATCAAATAGTAATTAAGCCATGGCTTGTCAGAAGCAGAGTTTGCCTTCCTTTGCCTCGATTCTTTCTGTCTTGTCGATTGTGTTTTACTGCGTGGGTTTTCTGAGAGTAGAATTAGAGCTAAACGAACAGAAGAAGAGAATAAACGATCTTGAAAACAACAAGGAGAATAATCCCCCCGATGTTCCAAACCGTGACAAGTCAACTAAGAATACTCATGGTAAGTCCTTTCTATTGTGGTTCAATATTTTACAATAAGAGCGTCACACAGAATGTTTATTTTATTTTTTCTTTAAAAAAATTCTTGCGAGTGCAGAAAAATCTTGTATATACGGTAGATATCTTGTCTTTGCGTGTTCTTAGCGCAAAGGTAAAGAAAACCGAAGGTGAACAGGTCACCATTTGTTTCCTTTGTAGGGAATAAGTTTTTAAAAACACTTAATGATCTTTGTTTCTGAATAGTAGGTGAACTATTGTTTTCAAATTACAGTTCAAATTAAAGATGACGAACATTTTTTTTAAGAAAGCTGCATCGATCAAGCAGATGGGACTAAATTTTTTTGGACGAGTAATTATCATTTCCGGCTTCTCATAAATCTCAGCTCAATCAACAAGTTTTCTTGTAAAAAAAAATTCAAAATTTTCTAATCTGGTTCCCTTAATTGCTGGTTTTCAGTGTCACGCAATTCAAAGTAGATCAAAATAAAAGTCAAAACCGTTCAATAGATAAAGTCCAGAAATATTATTATTATTATTATTATTAATCTGGCAAACGAAAGGAGGTAAATATGGAAAGACCCTCGCCAAGATTCAGGTCAGAGCAATATTTCGTATACGAGATATCCGAAGAAATGTTTTCACAAAATTAAGAGATTTGTAAGGAGACGCCATGTTGGTGCCCTCCGGGATGAGCACCAACATGGCGGAAGGAAACCAACAGAAATATCTGTTACCGAGTTTTGCTACAAGAGCGTGAATTTATTCTTCGAGGAACTCATAAACAATAAAGTAATACTTTATCTAATAAATGAACTGTTGAAAGAGCAAAATTCCCTGAAATAAGTAATTTCTTTAACCTACATGATAGCTCTCTTGGCCGTTATGTAAATGCCACGTCACGCAAAAGCTTAGAAATTCAAGCGTACTCTATCACGAAACCAAGAACCCTTTTGAAGCGAAAATTTGTTTGAAAATTAGTGTTCAGCTCCTCTAATACATTATGAAAGTAAAATATAGGTTCTATCGATAGTTTTGAAGTTTGAATTTTAGTGACGTCATGTGAAAACCAACAATACTTACTCCCCGGGGGGGGGGGGGTTCTTCTGGGAATTCTTGATGGTGGTGTGCCACCCGGTTTTCCAAATCCTGACCCTATTTTAGACCCAAAAATGTAATTTTACATACCCGTTTTCAGACCTGGCCTTTAGGCAGAAATTATGTTATCATTACGCTGAACGCAAACCAAAACATTTTTTCTATTTTTTTGGAATTGAAACGATAAATACGTTCATACACTCACATAGTTCCATCGAAAACCATACCCGATTCAAACCAAAATGGGCAAAGAGTATATTCTTTTTCAAGCCAAAACGGCGCAAAAACCCTACCCGATGTGGCGGCACATACCTATATAGCTTATATAAGGGAGTACCCCCTCCCCCACAGTGCTTATATTTCTTATTTATGGAGTCGGCATGTCATCAAAAAACGTCGTGATTAGGTGTATGTAGGATACAGTCGTCAAATTTGAGTAGACTACACTGGCCTTATTTTCTTCGAGAAGTATTAAGCCCTCATTCCTTTTTGGCGAGCAAATATTGTTTTATCGAGTTAGTGAAACTTAAGAGCTTTTTATTTTTCCTACATTGACCTGTCAATCTCGAGGAAAGTCTGCATGTTTTTTAGCTTCTGAAGGGCAATTTTTGTATTTCCTGTGTGCAGTCAATTTCGCACGCGGCGGTCTCTGTGAGGCGAAGCCAGTGACGCTTTCCTGTCTTTCCTAATCTCCTTTTACCTTGTCCACCAGCTGACCGAGTATTTCAATTCATTTTTAGTGCTCCATTACCCCGACTAAAGGCCTGTCATCTCTCTCCTTGCAAACACCTCGTTTGAATATCACGCCAAAAGGAGATCGGCTAAATCGCCGGCTAATGTTGCACTCATTTTTACTGTATAAAGTTGCCGGACTCTCGTTAAATAAATTTTTTAACTTTATCAACAACTCCACAAACAATACATTACATTACATATAACTGTACATAATGCTTTAATTTACTTTAAACAAAACTGAATGCAAGGCTGACAAAACGGCAAAGGGCTGATTTATTTGAGGCTAAAATTTGTTTTAATTGGCCTCAAATAAAATCATCCCCGTATTGCCAGCCTTAGCTTGCATTCAGTTTTGTTTTAATTCCCATTTCAAGTGACGTCTGGCATTAGCATCTCTACATTAGAGATCCAGCAAGAAAGAACAATTCGGTTTTATTTACGCGCTAAGTGGACCTCTGCATTGAAGGGTTTTTACTAAGATTAACTAGGTACAGGGTTCTCAGTTTTGATCTTAAGCACTGACATATTTTGTAGAATCTGAATATGCCAAGCTCCATAGGAATAGGCGAGCAACCGATGTACTGAAAAACACCACGGAAGCTAAAATCACAGTAGACAGGGAAACAATTCTGAAGATTAACAAACTGTTGTCCGAGCTAAAACCTCAACTCTGTCAGTCAAATGGTCATAGCTGTCTCCCAGGTCCTCCCGGTCCACCTGGTCCGAAGGGAGACAAAGGATCCCAGGGACGAAGGGGAAACAAAGGAGACCAAGATATTATAGGATCTCCAGGAATGAACGGCAAGCGAGGTATCACTGGACCTGTAGGCCCGAGGGGTGATGCTGGACTCAAGAGACAAAAAGGAGACATGGGACCTGCAGGCATGCCGGGAGCTAAAGGAGAACCTGGTGAATCGATTTCAGCCCCTGCTGTTGCCGTATCCCCTAAAACGCTGACAGTTAACGAAGGTGGATCAGCCTCGTTTCAGTGTTCAGTGAGTGGTAATCCTAAACCTGCAATAAAATGGATTAAAACAAACAGACAGTCTAGTCGGTCAGTGGTTTCAGGAGGAAAGTTGCTTCTTAAGAATGTGCGAGGAAGTGATTCGGGGACATATAACTGTTCAGCGGTCAACATTTTAGGACAGGCGCAGGCACTGTTGCAGCTGATAGTAAATGGTAAGATCGCTATGAACTATAGATAGAAAATTGAACAGTATGAAACCAATTTCGAAGATCCTGTTGTCCTTACATTGTGCTTTGGATAACTTATTTCAAAAAAAAGTAGAAAAACAAGTTATAAAAGTGACTACCATATATTGTTGTCGTCGCTTTTTATTCAGAGCTATTTATGCCTTTCTCAGGTTTGCTGTCAGCGCTATAGTACAATGTAGCCTTAAAATCCTAATTCCTCTAGTTAATAAAATCAAGGCAAGCCACTTATCGAAGGGAATTGGTCAAAAATACTAACTAATAACTTTCCCTATATATGTCCCTAACAGAAGGCAACTGTTTTAGCAAAAAGTCTCGGTGACCTGGCTTAGATCATTTAAGCCTATTTCTGTGTTAATTCTTATTAATCATACCATAAAAAAATTCTTGTTGTAGTTTACCCTCGAGTTTCCCTTCATCCGGGGCCTCATCACGCTATTGAAGGAAGCAACTATACTTTCCCATCCTGTAACGTGACTGGGTATCCTGCACCCGCGGTAACTTGGAGAAAGACATCTGGTCCATTACCCCAGGGAAGGATGAAGTACAACAACGGTGCATTACAAATGCTACATATTCGTAAAGATGACTCTGACTTCTACTTCTGTTCGGCATCAAACCTGTTAGGACGCGCTGAAAAGAAAACTTTCTTAGTTGTTGTCTCTCCTCCTCGATTCATTGTTAAACCACCCGCCAAAGTTTTCCCAGGAGTGGGCAGCACGTTGACCCTAGACTGCAAAGCTGCTGGTGATCCTCAACCTGTCATCAGCTGGAAGAAACAAGATGGCCAACTACCTGCTGGACGAAGCCGCCAGCTGATAAATGGAACTTTAGTAATAAGAGACATAACAATGAAAGATAGAGGGATTTACAAATGTATTGCACCATATGCAAGAGTGTTCAAGACAGAAGCCGTGACTTACATCGAATTTGAAAAAGGTAATTCTTTTTTATACTGCTATTTCATTTCTAACCCTCTCCTTTACGTATAAAACGCGTCATTGCTCTCTCTGACTGCATTATTAGGGCAGAGAAATAGAACAGTACATGTATTGTCTGAGCTATGATCAACTGGTAGAGTCTGTCTGTGTGTTTGTTTTAAGCACTCCACCCAGTTTCATTATCATATTTAATCACATTTTTAAACTTGTCTCATCAATTGCGGAAATCGCGTCGAGTAAAGAACGAAGCGATCCATATATTTCTCAATAAAAGCCTTTTTTTTGTTTCTACTTCCTTTTTACAGTTTTTTTTATTTCATCGTTTTACGTTGCCTACCGACGAAACGTTGTAACCGTTATCTTACTATAAATTTAGCCAAGGCTAAAAGCGAAGCGTCCAATTATACACTTTCAAAAAGCTTCTGAACCTACGCAAAGAAATCCAGAAATTTATACTTAACCGATTTTAAAACAAAAAAAAAAACGTTAAAATCAAATTCGATCATAGTTATAGTTATATATTGAAAAGTATTCTACCCATAACTCTGTATCGCTGAAGTTAATAACCCAAGAAATTTAATATCTTATAAAGGCAGATTGTCATTCAAGACATTCGTCCAGTTCACAGTTAACCTTTCTAAGCCAATCTTTCCGTCTATACGCGATTCTACCCACGTGGCAAATTAAGCCGATTTTTGTGTTTAGAATTGGTTTTTTTTTTGGAGAAATTGGACCCGACTTACCGTTACGTGTAAACTTATCTTTTAGATTATACATCACAATATCTGATACTCAGTAACCTTTACTGTAAGTTATACTTTTTGTTTCTTCTGGCGAAAAGACCCAGGAAGGTTAATAACTTCTTTAACATTTCCCGATCTGAATAAACATAATTTTGTAAGCTATACACGAACTGCTTTTTGCGTGTTGTGTATTTTAATAAATACAGCTAAATGTACGCTAGACTGAAACTACAAATTATAAACGTAATAATATATTCCAAAAAGGCGAAGTCCTTTTGGCAAAGTTACGGGTCTGTCGTTAAGATAATCGGCAAATCTTTGATGCACTCTCTTTTCGATGAGCAAAAAAAATGTGAGTTAATGTGTAATATATCAAACTTTGCCTATTAGTATGGAGGAACGCGTTTTTACCTAGCTAGCTAGACACTGACCAGGCACGTAATTAATATACAGGAAAGCACTAAATTAGTATGCAGGAAGACACTTATAAATATTAACAAAGGGAAGGCATATGGAACGCAGGGGAAGGCACCAACAAGGCCTAATTCTGACCCTCTATGACTACTTCAGTCTTCACACTTCAGCATCTGACCAGATTTTTAAATACTTGGTGCTGTTTAAAACAAAGGACTACGTTCTATGTTGTTACGTTTTTTCAGTCTCAGAATAGACTTTTGGTCAGCAGGCTCTAAAAGTTAGCTTAGTATGAAAGGAATAGAAATAACAGATTAACAATGTAAATCCAGGATTTTACAAGATGTATACCACCATGTCGTGTCCTTTCCCGCGACTTTTAATTGTTATAATGTATTTTATTTTTCTCAAATACCAGGGACGTAGATGCCTGTACGCACGGTAAGAAAATAATTATAATACAATAAGAGTACAAAAACGAATAGTGGAAAAAAAATTTTAAAAAGGATAAAATTTGATAAAAGATTATTATTTTAAGAGCACAGTTTGGATTAATTCATTTAACAACGGAGTGTCAGTTTAATTTTTCTTTTTACACTCGAATGTCATTGGTGGACCGAATCTTCAATGATGTATTTAGGGCCTGTTTACATGGCGGGGGGCACCCCAGGTGGGTAATGTAACCCGCCTGTCCACACAATCTCTCAATTGAATTTGATTACGTTTACATGATAGGTGGGTTGACCCGCCGCATGTTACCTCAGCTATCTGAGGTCCCCCACTTCCATATAAACAGGCCCTTAGTAAGTAAGACTTGATGGTATAAATAGTAAACGCGTTGTTTTCACTTCGGCCTGTCTTCGCACTAGACTAAGCAGGGCACACTTACATGAACTTAGAGTGCTTTATCGGTCAAAAATAATGTGGCAAATAGTGCAGGGGGAAAAGAATCGCTCATCTGCAAATCAAATTGTGAGATACTGTTAAACTGTTGGCGTAGGCGCTAAGGTTACCCCAAAGGATTCATACCGAAATGTTTCGGATTTAGGATTCCGGATTAATTATACATTGAGGGTATTCGGATCATTTTGCAAGCTTTCATAAAAATACATTCGGATTCCCAACGATTTACACACATCGGTAAAACTGGGTGGCTTTATCAGAAACGACGACAGCGAAGGCAACAAGAACGACGTCAACAAGCAAAAGGTTTAAAAAGTTGAACAATTTTTTGCATGTTTCGCACGCTTTTTGGTACATTTCTTTGCCGTCCCTGCACGACCACGGCGTGAAATTTTCTTAATATGCGACGTTGTCCGGAGAACGTGAAAGTAAACACACGAGGTTATTTTACTTATCGTAAAAACGCTTAGGCTTACAGTAACCTCCACCTTTGGGGACATTGGAGGTGCGGGAGGGGGAAGGTGGCGGACGGGGTTAGGGGCTTTTGGAGAATTGTGCGAACCTCTGAACAAATCCTGGCTACGCCCCTGAATACGTGACTTAAGGTTGTTGAGCTTAGCGTCGACATTTTTTCGCGTCGACTTCATTTTCCTTGTTTTGTAGTTTTATGCGATTGAGTAAAAAGGTTTTCGAGTAAGTATCGTCGATGTACATATGTATTTGCTCGTGAAGGAGCGGTAAAAGGAGCGAAAGAATTAAGGAGGATTTAATGACGCAAGGACTGGAAATTTCAGTGTACAGAGTATGTGACCTCCTCATCGATGTGCACCACCTTCATTTTTAGATGCTCTCAGCTCATCCAGCATTCTTGACAGCCATGGCAGGAAGTATCATTTCAAGTTGATTTCGTATTTAGACCCAGTGCTCCAGACTACAGGCCGCAGCAGGTTTGTAAGGTGTTGGCACGCTAAGACAGATGGTTGGGCGGCATTCACATTTCACAGTAACTGTGATGGAAAGGGTCCCGCTGTAACCATCGTCCAAGTCGGTAGTTATATATTTGGTGGATACACTGACAAGTCTTGGTCCAGTCCTAGTAAGTATTCGTTACATATTTGGTGGATATACTGACACGTCTTGGTCCTGTCCTAGTAAGTATTAGTTACATATTTGGTGGATACATTGACAAGTCTTGGGGTGGTATGTATCATTTCAGAACAGCTTTAATCGCACACAGATCATGCATGTTCAGAGTTTTCGTGTGGACGAGCGAAAACGATTCTCATACACTAGGCGCATATTTTTGCTGAATAAACATCCCGATACGTGTGTACTGGGCCTTAAACCAACGTTTTCGTTGCCCGAAAACGCCGTTTATGTGTACATGGAAGCAAAACTAATATCCGGATACGTGTCGATAAGGCCTCTTTAATAAACATAAGTCACTGACACCGTTGGCATAAAGAGATAGTTAAAATTTTTCTCTCGGGATTATTTTATTTGTCTCTTAAAAATATTCTGATAAACGGATTGAAAGTATTAAAATGCGTTCGCACCAAACAATTCATAAAAAATTCTAATGTTGATGCAACAGATTGTTATCGAATGGAGTTTAAATGAAAGAATTACCTAACTAGTTGAGTAAATGAATACCAAAGCGAAATGCCTGAAATTTCGTTTTCTCTACAAGAGCTTACTAGTAGATCTAGTAGCTCTATAATGTATAGGACAGTACTTTTTCAAAATAACTTGACTGATTTTTGGTGAGGACTGGTGGATTTCCTGGCTCTGTTAATTGTTATATAGAATATTTTATCAAAAAGGTTCAAAGGTGAAAAACATCCAGCTTCGAACACAAAGTATTTATAGCCGCCAATGTCGCCCTTGCTACTTAAAGTGTTTTGAGTAATTGAAATTAATAACTGCAAAATGTTTTTCCACAGGTTCTTGTCGTTATGTCTATTCAAGTAAATCGTTCCTGTTCTCGTTATATAACATCCATGGCTACGCACCGGTTAAGGTGAACATCATGCCAGGTTATTACAGTAAAGCTATATACACATGTTCTGATAGGGGACCAGTGTTTGGTGGAGGATACGACCTGTACATATCCAACAACGCTGCAAGCAACAGCTATTCCAACACCAAATGTGGCTACTCCTACTCCCTCCCCC